GGTTTTGTAAAATCTCAGAGAATAATAAAATGATGAGGCTTGATTCTGACCAACACTTCTTATGCTACGGAATCCCAGAGGCACAAAAACTGCCAGTTTGGACTTTTTGACGAAAGAGTGCGAGAAGGCTTCAGAAGGCAAAAAAAATAATTTAAATTCAAAATGAGGTCCGTGTAGTTATGGAGTTCGACTGAGCGCGAGGGCTAGGAAGATACAAAGATGGAAAAGGCTAGGAGAGTGGATCATGAAACCGCCATAGCAACAGCGGGAAAGATCAGGCAGGAGGTGGGTAATGGAAACAACCAACCAGCCCTTCAAGACTGTGCTCCCTGGTCAGCTTTGTTAAAGAGCCGACTCCTTGGTAGGAAATGCACACAACACCCGTTCACATAGGTGAACCTCCCTGCCCTGTCAGGTTACACCCTGGTCCCCAACGCTCCCTTTCCCCTGTTCTCCATCTGTGCAGCTCACTGGACGGAGGCATCTCCACTCTCACTGTGGATGTGGTGGGCAAAGGAATCTCCTGCAAGGACATGGCACCACTGGTGAGGACTCTCCCATACCTGCTCCACTAATGGCAATCATTAAAGCACATGTACACCTGCTTCAGTTATCATCTGGAAAGGCAGATTTCTGTCTAGTTGTGCTCGTTTTATAGCTCGATGAGCTAACATTCATGTTTCATTGCAGCATGCGTACATCAATGTCAGATGTCCACCTGGAAAGCACATAAAGGTTTTAAGGTATGTGAATTCCATCTGTTTTTCCCCCTTGGAATACAGTGCTCTGGGAATGAGAATGCATACAACTATATTGGTTTTGTAACTGGGCTAGAGAAACTAGAGTTAAACATATCTTATTACAAGATGAATGGGTCTCTCTTCTAAGCTTAACCCTTCGTGTTATTTTACATAATGTTCACTTTCAATTATACTGAAATATGAAATGAAATAAAAATAAAGTGCTTCCTAAAAGAAGAATCGAGAAAACTGACAATCTCCGTTCAGTGAACAGAGACCATATTCTAGCATTTGGTCCAGGTGAAGAAATGTCTGAATTTTGCTCATTTAGACTTAACATTTTAATTGTTGATCTCCTGACACACTCTAGGAATGTCACTGCGTGCACTAAGGGCACATTCACTCAGGGTCTTCTGCAGAACAATTACTCCTACACAATTTCAAAGTGAGTATTATGCCAGGGTGTACATGTTTTCATTTATAATCCATTCATATTAAAATGTCTTTTGAGGCAAATTAAGAAATTGATAGACAAATTAATAAAGTAAGGTAAATATGGGTCCTCTTGGTTTGTGTTTAGGAACATCTATGACCCAGAGCATCTGCGTCAACAGAATTCTGCAGAAGAAGACCTCCATGTGACTTACAGCTTTGTTGAATACCAGTGCCCCCTGCTGGTCTATTATGATGCACTATGGCTGCCTATATTAGAACTGTAAGATTTCCCCTTTCTTACATTTTCACATACAGCACTGTATTTTAGGTCTGTTCTTTAACTTGTATTCTATGCTTGTTTGTACATTGTTGTGTTGTTCTGTTGATACATTTTTATATTATTGATTATGAAAAATGAGTAGCCTGGTGGTACAGCGGGCAGCTCCTGGGTCCTGGGTTCAAATCTTCGTGCCATCTGCCTCTTCTCCCCAGGTTCGTATGATTGTCTTTGTGTACTCTGGTTTGCTCCAACTGCACAAAGACGTGGTGGCCAGGTTAAAAGGCATCTGTGAATTGCCTCCTCTGTGTGTGGGCATTTATTAAATGTTGATTTTGTTTAATTAATTGTTGGACAAAAGAAACCAACGACTCAACATTATTCTACAGACATCAATGAGGTAGACGTGCTGTGAACAGTTCATTTCAGACAGGCTCAAGGTTGAGTTTCAAAAGCTAAAATAACCTACCAAAAAGAGGACACCCTAGGTTTGTTTCTTACAGGTGGGACAACGGGCAGTTCGTAGAGTTTGTCCCAGTGGACTTTGTGCTGTTTGAAGTCCATGGGATGTACAACTATGACTACCTGCAGTCTGCTGGGAGTGCCAGGTGTGTGTCTCAGCCACAGACCTGGCCATCCATGCTGGCCAAACAGCCACAGCCTGACCCCCACACGGCATGGACCAGAAAGGTAAATCCCATTCCTTTCTATTGCTTTGTTCAATTTCGGAAGCACGAGTTCTATTTTGTTATAAAACCTCCCAGTGCGGGCTCAGAAGTCTGGGGTTTTCACGCCTCATCTCCCAGCTACAAACCCCACAACCACACAAGGGGAAAGATCGAGGACCTGCAGGCAGACTCCTCCCCCCACAGCTCCTCTTTAAACACCCCACGGTTTACACAGGAGGTGGAAGGTGCTGCTGTTCCACTGGGAGACCCAACCTGGACA